TTAGCCTGGGCTAAAAAGTTTGGTTTGGGAAGGACTTTTTGGCTTTTTGGCTTTTTTGGCTTTTTTTGTGAGAGAAGAATGTAATGATTATGGGTTGGATGTGATGTTTTGTTTTTTGTGGCTAAAATAGCCTATTTTGTTTTTTGTGGCTAAAATAGCCAAAAAAACCCCGTTTAACTCTTGCCAAACGGAGGCTTAGAGGAATACCCATAATTATTCTAAATATTATCCATATCTCATTTCCTCTAAATATGTACCATACCTATTTTTTCAAGGTCAATTTGAAGACAAAATTTTTATAAATAAAAACGGTTGAATCCATTTTTTTTTTTTTTTTTTTCATCTTTAGACAATAATATGAATCCACGCATAGCCCTAGTGATCAGGCAGGACAACTTTTTTTTTAGAGGGGGATAGGTGTTGGTTTATTTTGAGAAGTTAAAAGTTAATTTTTTAAATTTTTTTGACTTTTTCTGAAAAAAAATGTATAAAAAATAGAGAGACGATATAACTTAAAAAAGTCAAAAAACTAATAATCTTATTCTCAAAATAGACTGAAATGAGCCAAATCGAATCAATGCAATAATGTTTGTTAAATAATCTAATTCTTCCAATTTATTAAAATTCTACCATGTTACCAATAAATAAATAAATAAATAATAAAATTAAGAAATTATTTGGGAATTTGGAATGTTTACGAAAAAATATATAAAATATAAAATATAATCTGACCCAAAAAACTAAAAAATATACTAAACAACTCCTAAAAGCACATAAAAGAATGTGTTCCAATTGACATCAACAATGCATCTAAAAAGTACAATTTGTGAAGAAAATTGACAAAAAAAATCACTAAAAATGAAAAGGTCAAAAATAAAAACAAAAAATGACACATTTTTCGTAGTTTTCTTCAAAAATTTTCTTTCATAAATATCTTAGTCATTGAAGACAAAAACAAACTAAAACTAAAACTTAAAAAACAATTTAAAAAAAATAATAAACATTAACTAACCTTTAATATATCTAGCAAAAGAATTTAAAAGTGTTACAGTAATCTATTGAATGAAATAATATATTGAGCGATAAGCAAATTTTATATGACGTAAAAAAATGTTTGTGATTGTGTAACAGTTAGGATTTTATATAGAGACAATATATTGGAGATAAAAGAAAAAGAAGAAAGAACTCTCCTTTTGAATTTTTGTGAGATAATAAAGTTTTCACAAATTACGAAAAAGTTTCTTTTTAACTTTTCTTTTAAACAACATAAATCATGGAATAATTAATGTTTTTATAATTATTACATTAATGTGTTAGCCAATAACATAGATAGATAGACTAGCAATCGACCCATGCTATGCACGGAGAGAATTTTTTTTTTTTTTAAATACAAACGTTTTTACAACATAACATTTTTAAGTTGTATGTACATATTTCTATAAAGTAAAAATTATATTTTAAGAGTGTGTTTGTTTTGATGGATTATTTTATGGGATTGAACTATTAGTTCATCCGGACTAATAATTTATTGTTTGGTTCAATTTTTTTGCTTTGGATTAATAGTCCCTCCGGACTATTAGTCCCTCATATGAGAAATTATTGTATCCTAAGGGGGGGTGGGATTATTTTCATAGGATTGGTATCTCATGGGACTAATGTGTGAAATGTCTATTTTACCTTCATGCTATTACTTAATAAACAATTGAAAAAGGGTAAAATAGTCTTTTGAACATTTATAAATTATTTTTTTAGTGTTGTTAATTTAAAATTATATATTAAATAAAAAAATAATAAATTAAAAATTATGGCCTTATAAATTAAATTTTTTTAGTGTTGTTAAAAAATTTAATTTATATATTAAATAAAATTATTTTTTTTAGTGTTGTTAATTTAGAATTATATATGAAATAAAAACATAAATTATAAATTTAATTTAGTTTAATTGAAAATAATAAATTAAAAATTATGGCCTTATAAATTAAAAAATTTTAGTGATGTTAAATTATAAATTATAGACTACAAATTTAAAATTATATATCAAATAAAAATTATAAATTACAAGGATAAAATAGTCTTTTGAACATTTATCCTTATCCAGTCCATCTAACCAGATATTGGATTCACTAAAAATAGTCCAATCCGGACATCTAATCCCATAATAAACACAGAATACAAATCCAATCCAACCAAATAATATGAGGACAATGTATCTCTCGACTAACAGCCTAATAAATTACAATCCCTCCTTATCCAGTCCGTCCAAACACAACCTAATTTTGAACTGACTACAATAGTTGATTGTTAAAGGAAAACCCGAAAAGGACAAAAATAGGGAGGAAGTAAAAATTTTCAATTCAAAAAATTAAAATTTTACTATCAATATTTTAAAATTATGATTTTTGTGTTAATCCTATTAAAAGTTATATTGGCTAATATTCGATGATTTTTGGAATTGTCAATATTTTGAAACTATCATTTTTATATTAGTCCTATTAAAAGTTATCTATCATATATATAAAGCGAACACTTATGGTGGTATTCTAAAGTCTTGGCTTTTCTATATGGTAAGTGGATATATCAAAAAAAAAAATAGTGAGACTCTGATAAAAAAAAATATTCTTACCATTTGAATAGCACATATACATCTTGTGTGCTATTTAAGTGGTAAAAGTATTTTTTTTTATCAGAGTCTCACTATCTTCTTTATCTTTTTTTTTATTATTTTTTTATTTTTTATATCCACTTACCATATATATATATATTATACTTATTTGAATTATACACATATCACGTATACCAACTGTTTGTATTGGTTGAAGTGAATTGTCTATTGGGACATCTGCTAATACATACATAACTATCACTTAAAATTGAAAATTTTACCTAAAAATGATTTGAATTTCTAATTTATCTATGACTTATTATTAACTGTATAATATTTCAGTACTTATAAGAATGAAATTTCTTATTCAATTTTAGGGCAAAATTTTTATTTGAATATTTTTAACATTAAATGTAGCGATCCCAGTTTTGTTACTTCGCTGAGTATGTCGGGAATTGAGCTGCCCGATCAGCTCGCGGGGGTCTAGGGGCAGCGCCCCTTGGCGGGTCAAAGGGCAGCGCCCTAGCAGGGATCGAGCTGCCCGGTCAGCTCACGGGGTCCAGGGAGTAACGTCCCTTGGCGGGTCCTAGGGCAGCGCCCTGGTAGAGTTGAGGGGCAGCGCCCCCGAAGCAAAAATGCAAAATACATTAGAAGTTGCTGGTCCGCTCGAGCGGCTGTTTATACACTCGAGCGGAGAATGTTTAGTTCTAGAAATTTGACTTGTCTGCAAAAATATTGGGAAAGTGTATTTGACGCTCGAGCGGGGCTTTCCACGCTTGAGTGGACCATGTTATATCAGTTCGTGAATCTAATATTTCAGATCACTTTTGTATATCTCTCTCTCTAAAAAAACCTTTTCCTCTCCCTTTCTTCTACATTTCCCTACGCCAAATTGGATCAAAACTTTAATTTCTCAAGATCCATTAGAGCTCTGCCATAAGTTCTTCATCAAAGTTGGTTAACTTCTCGAGGGCTTCGTTGTGTGCGGTGAAGATCGAGTTTCGACACCATTGATTTTGGAGGTTTCATTGTATTTCTTCTTTAAAACTTGATATAGGGATTTTTTTTGAGTTATATATATATATATATATATATTTTTGCAAGATCTAGATGATTTTCGAAATCATTCGTTGATAGTTTTTGAAAATTGATTATTGATTCAAGAAGTTAAGTGATTTTGAAAATGAGTTTGTCTCTTGTCCTTTTAAAATGATCTTATGGATCTTGATCTTCATTGATTGAAGAAAAGATGATTTTGGAAAGTTTTCTTTCAAAAGATTTGGGTTGTATAGTTTTGGTAAGAAAACCTAGAAATTTGGGATTTTTAAAAGAGATTAAAAATCCATGAATAATATTGTTATATTTATTTTGTGTGTCAAA